AGCTGCCCTCCTCCTCCCTCTGTTCCCAGGCAGAAGACATGTGAGCCAGATACAATGAGACAAACTTGTGTCGTTTAAAAAAAGGCAGCTGTCCCATTTTTAGCCCCGCAAAGCTCCAGCTGAGTCATAGTCAGCCTCCCTGACAAAAGACAGAGGAACAAATACGAGCTGAAAAATGACAATCAGCCAGTGTGATCTGGATGGGAGGAATATCAGCGGAGAGAGAATGCCATTAATCTTTAGCATACAGCTCCAAAGGCGAGGTATTTGCGAGCGAGTAAACGAAGACGAGCACATTCGCATCGCGGCACAAACATCTAATTACGGCATTGCAATAACATCATCCTGCACATTTATTTGCATTACACTGAGACTATTGTTTCAACATTACAGCGTCTTGACTCTTTAATTGTTAAAGTCAACACCGCTAGCATCGTGCCAGGCCAACACAAATAGCAAAAAAATCCAGTTATTTTTCTAGTTTGGGATCCCAAACAGTATGCGGTTTGAATGGGGGTCTCGAAACAGGGGCTGGATGTCTCTCCTGCAGGCATGAATGTACTTCAAGAATAATAGACAAATATTGTTGTATTTATTAAGAGAACACACAATGAGGCTCTAATAGTCGCAAGAAAAAATATCCGAAACCGCTCCAAAAACAAGAGACTGGAGTCAGCGTTTTTAGTTTTTACGTTTGTTTTTTTTGTCCGAATACCACGAACAGAAAAATGTCCACGAATTCCCAATAAAACATCTTCCACTAGGAGTTTGCATGTTCTCTCCGTGCAGCGTGGGTTCTCTCCGGGTTCTCCGGCTTCCTCCCACACAGTCCAAAAACATGTTGAGGTTAATTGGTGATTCTAAATTGTCCGTAAGTGTGAATGTGAGTGTGCTTGGTTGTCTGTCTCTAAGTGTAGCCCTGTGATAGACTGGTGACCTGTCCAGGGTGTCCCCTGCCTTCACCCTGAGTCAGCTGGGATAGACTCCAGCCCCCCATGACCCTAGTGAGGATTAAGCGGTGTATAGATAATGGATGCATGGATGGACATCTTCCACTAGCAAATGAAGCTGTACTTTTTTGCACATTTCTAGTCATGTTTCTTCCTGGGTTTCCCATCGACATCATTGAGTCTCCAACACTCCATCGCAACAGTTATGAGCATAAAAGCAGAACAACACAACTTTATTAATAGGACGCAACTATTTTCAGTCTCAGGTGTCTAAAAGCAGCCAAAGTTTTCAGCGTCTGATTCAAGTTTTCTCTCTGTCAGCCGGCTTTGTGATGGAGGTATGACTCTGCGAAGTGCAGCGTTATCTTTTTCCCATTTAAATGCTAATGAGCGTGCTGCCATACCAGTCAAAGCGCTGCAGAAACAGTGTGAATTTTTAATATCTTATCACACCAAAAGGTAACAGCTCTCCCGGTGAGGTGGAGGGATGAGTACATGTTCCCTCATTAAATTCTACACAATCGATGTGTCCCTCGGAGAGCGCCGGGGGCCGTTCTGTGTGTCGCAGCATCCTCGGCTGTGTGTCGCCGTGGCGTGGTGTGCGAGGATGTGTGTGCGCTCACATCTGTCCGTGCGGTTTGGATGTGTGCACGCATGCAGATGTGCACAGCGGCGCGCTGCTGCACTTGTTTCTTCACCTCATCAGTAATGAACAGCTGTTAATTGCCTCCCCATCATGTGGTGAAGCCAGAGGACGGAGGTTAAGGTTGTCGCAGCCTGTTAATAATTACTTTCCATGGATGGTGGTGTCATTGGTGGCAAAAGGTTAGAGGAGAAAAATTCATTGAATGTAATGAAACTCATATTAGAGAACGACCTCTGCTCTCGTGCTGCCTGGAATTTGTATTCCTTCCCGGCACCTGTTTCCATGAAAACCGCCACCAGTGTAAATGTTAATGTAGCTGCAGATTATTTTATTATTATTTGTTATAGTGTTGCAGTGAATACATAAATGTATTTTTTAAATTTTTTATTTTTTTAACCGATCCTTAGAGAATCCAGTAAGAGTGACAACAATAATCTATGCAGCGTTGCCTTCGTGTCCTCCAGGAAAATGACAACATTTTTAAATAGACATGTTCAAGTAGGAGTCAAACTCACATTGTGAAACCTGGCAAATGTAGTATGGCTGTTACACAAGGGAGAACTAAAGCAAATGGATCTAATAAATGTGAAAAAAAAAACTTCTCAGGAGAACGAAGAATAAAGTTTCCCACCAGCAGTATTTAAATTCACATTTCTACACCTGGCTTCTCGTCTGAAGAACAAAAAAAACCTTAAACATCAGATTTCACAAAATCTCTGTGACTGTCTCGCCTCTGTGGTCTGGCACCCAGTGGTGATCTTTGGTTTCTACATTATCTTTCCTATTTTACTCATCAGATAGCTGCTACAGAAAGCTAGAGGAAAAACTGGAAAGCATGAGGGACTTTTATGAAGGCAGGCGCTCCTCAAAGCCAGGATTCAATAATTGCTTTCCTCTTGTCTCACGCATGTGACAGATGGTGAGGCCACCAGAGGCCTGAAGATGGGAATAATATTGTTGATTAAAAAGAAATATAGGAAACAACATGCAGCTGTTGGCTAAGAGACAGAGGAGGGAAGACGAGAAGAAAGAGGAATGAGAGAAAATAAGAATAGATGGAGCTGGGAAACAAAAAAAAGGGGTGGCAGTAATGACACAATTAAACTTGGCTGGTCCACACACATTCTCACTGGAGGTTGTTTGAACTGCTGATGTGTGAAGTTTGGGAGGGGAGAAAAAAAAAAAAGATGCTTTCACGGTTTTATTCTTGGTGAGTCCTGCGGGACTGGGAGTTGTGTTCCAGATATTTAGAAAAGTTATTCATTTGGTGCACAGACTAGCCGTCAAACATGGACGCCCACCTGCGTACCTTCAGCTGTGTGAGAGAGACGGTCTTTAAGGATATATCTCCTGCTTTGTGTGCATGAGCTTGTAAGTGTGGGGGTAATTGTTTCTTGGAGCTTTTTTTTTTTTTTTGTGCCCGTATCAGGGGAAATTTAACACTTCTAATGGCAAACGCTGATGCTGAGCGCTCCTCCTTTCTCTGCTACGAGCATCAAAGCCCGGAGTCACGCTGCTGAGCCTCTTTTGCATAGACTAATGTAATAATTGTCTTTACGAGACATCTTTCAGAGGATGGAAAACTCAAAGTCACAGCCAGAGATTCGGTCTCTTTCTCCTCAGAGGCCTTTTTTTTGTAATGAAGACAGCACAAAGGTGACGACAAAATGATAAAACAAACGTGTGAATTTCCACATCAGCAGCATGGTTATTTAACACCCATCAGGTATAGCGGTTGTGAAGGTTTCATTGTCACTGCCACCACCAATGAGTTAAAAAGAAGAAACTGCAAATGAACATCTTTTATCCTCCAGATTCCCGCCTAACTGTACACGATTGTAAGGCGATTGTAACGTCCCCGCGACTGCATGAAACCTAAGCTACTGTATTTATCATTTATAGAATAATAAGCATGCACACTGGGCGTCAGCTGTGTTGTGCGTTGACTGGATAAGAAGCAAAATAAGCCAGTGTGATCAGGGGGGGGATCAAGTGAGATTAAAAGATTTAAGGCTCCATTTGCCCATGAATATCTGATGCCTATCTGAGGCGAGAGCCAGTGATCCTCTGTCAGGTCGCCGAGGTGTTGGAGGAAATCTACCTTATCTGCATCTGGCCGCCGCTTATATGAATAATATGCAGACATCCTCTCCTCTGGAAATGTTTTGTTTCTCCTCTGCTCGAGTCAAAATACATATAAGAGATTCATTCAAAAATCAAGCGCTGTTCCATACGGCGGCGCTGCCAAGACAAGCAGAAACCCAACAATTGTTTGGCTCAAGCTGGACATCTGAAAACTTCTCAGCACAACTCCATGCTGGCTCCAGTCAGTAAATAAAAAATCAGTAGCTGGCAATCACGGGCTAATCAAGCTGTGAAATGACCTCAGTCCTGTTTTGATTCTGGAGTGGTCCTGTAAAAAGAAAAAACATGAAGCTTCATCTGGATGACCACAGCAGTAGTTATCCTCCTAAAAACCATCAACCATAGAGCTGCAGAGTTCAGTTCCTCTGACCTTTATTGTTGCCGTTTGGACGCAGTTGGCATAATTATGAAATGATCGTTGCAAAATACTGCCTCACTCAGACAAAATATAGCTCGCACAGAAGTTCCCAAGTCTCCTGTTGTACACTCACTATGTGTATTATTCAAAGTTCATACTGCAGTAAATCACAACGGGAGTATTTGAATTAGAATGAATCCACTGCGTGAGAGCTCCACGGTGCTTGTTTTATTCTAATCTGGCTTAATGTTCATGCAAAAATGTCTATTTTTTTAACGAATAAATGGAAATTAATCCAGATTCCAACCTACTGGGGGTCATAGGTTTTATTTAAGCATTTATTCTCAACACTCTGGGTCAACTTTTGAGAAACAAACACGCAGTAAATGTGTTTCCATCTTCATTGTAAGTAATGAAACCATAAATCTCCTGAAGAGTCTGGCCATATGGAAGATGTGATGTGACAAGTGCTGGCAGTGGGGAACACACCATGACCCTGTACATGCAGCAAAAATGATCTGCTCCAAAAGGCAAGTCATTAAAAGGAGATTTAGACTATTGGTTCCATTTTTTTTATTTTTATTTTTTTTAACGAAAATATTTGGTGTTGTGGCTGTAGCTGAATACGTTTGACAGCTCGTCGTCTTAACGCTGAAGGGAACATGGCATCTCCACATCCCCTCCTGCTGCTCACATTTCCTCTTACTTTAAGCCTACAGTTGTTCTCCTTTACGCAAGTTTTTACTTTTGTAGCCCCCTGGAGTGAGCGAAGACGCAGAGCATTTTGTGTTAAAATTTTTGGGGAGGGACGGAGCGCAGGGATGCGAAGGTAGGTTCCCTCCCCCATGGGTGTGTCCACAGCCGGGAGACCTCAGTCTATCCACCTGCAAAAGCCGCTGTTCCTGCACTACACACTTGAGCGCCGCTGCGCACGGCTGAGCCGCTCGTCTCCAGGAACAACTCTTTTGTTTGTCGCCTCCTTCACTGGAAAATACAGAATCTGTTGATGCGATTTAGAGATCACTTTAAGTTAAAGCGGCTGCGTCAAGTTAATTTAAATCCAAGCTTTGTTTGGCTCTGGGATAATCGCGCAGGATCTGCTGCGGATACACTGATACTCCTGCCCGCGGACACAGGAGCTCCAACAATCTGGGTGGATGGTATTAAACGGTCACCAGCTGTAGCACACTGTTCTCTGGACCTCACTGGAAGGTAAAGCGAGCGTTGCTTTGATGCATGAGTTATAAGTTAGAATGATCATTTGTGGTGTGACAGATGTGCGCTTGAATCAGTAGAAAGCCACATTTGGTGGAGTCGAGCAGGAATAAAACCGGCGCTCCGTGCGCAAGCTCCAAGAAATGGAATATATGCGTATTTGGTAAAGTTTTGTGAAATAATGTGATCCAGAATGTTAGAGATGGATTGTTTTTAGCAATGCACTTCAAGTTGTGTGTATTCTTATTTTTTGGGGTGTCTGTCTAGCGTGTGGGAGGTCATTTTTAATGAGCTATAATCTCAAATACTATTTTGAAATATTGCAAGAGCCAAGAGCAGTGAGTGTGTGTGTGAGTGTCAGAGGCATTGAAAGTTTCTGCTGCATGTGATGCTGTAGCCTTTAAACTAAACTGTAAATGTGGTCCTCAGCTGCTGCTTTTCACTGATAAGGTTTAAAATCCCACGTCCTGTTATAAATGACACGTGGTTCATGTTCATGTCCTCATAACTCAAAGAGCCAGTCAGGCTTTATTTTGGTTAACGGTCTGCTTTGGAGTTCTGCCTTCAGGGCTCAATGTGGAACTTGATCTTAAACCCTGACTGACAGTTTGACCTCAAGACTCTGATCCACGTTTACAACTAGATCAGTGACATGCAGGGATAATTACAGCAAAGTACGCCCTCACTGAAAAATCTTTTATTGTTTCCAAACCCCTTCCAAAGTCACTCCTTAGAAGTTTTCTAGGCTGGCATTAGGCACCGTCCTGCCACCTTACTGATAACTGGGAGAGTTCTGTCTTCTTTTTTTTTATGAGGATTTTATCTTCAGCTCTCTTTGTGGCGGATAACAGCATGTTGTGATTTAATCTGCCATTGTGCGCCAGGCTTCAAGGAGCAGCTCCCCTCGTCACTGGTGGAATTCAGGTCTCGCTGTAGATTTAACAGTGAAAGCTGCTAAACTCTTGACCGTTTGTTTGCAGCTTTCTCAAATGCATTTGGTGGAAAGTGAGGATCTGCAGGGAGAGGGAGAAAGCGGTGGCTTCTTTTGGCTCTCTCAGCTGGAAGGAGACTCGTTTTACACAGTTTCCTTTATAGCGAGCAGAGGCAAACACCAGCAAGAACAATTGTGGGCGTTTAGGAAAGGCATATCACAATGACAGATTCATCAGAACATCCAGAAGCCATGGTGAAAACCAAATTCTGAGCCAGCACACTTCCCATCCAGACTCCCTTACGGTTATGGGTTATGTTGCTTGGCCTATATTACACAACCCATGGCCAAAATCTTTGCCAGAAGCACAGCATAAAACCTGATCCAGTTTTTACCTCAGTGTCTCTCCCCCCCTGCTTGATTCTCTGTATTCTCAGGTTTCAGTGCCATAAAAAAGCAAAGACTACACAATGCAGCAATGTCTATGTTTGATGCTCATCCCTGTCTGTCCCTCAGCTCCTGGACTCTCCTTCTCCTCTGTTAACAAACAGAGGGACAATGTTGTGGGACAAACTGTGCTGGCTGCTGGCCCTGCTGGCCTTATCGTCTGGGGGGCTGCCCCCTTCCAACGAGCCGATGTCCGCTCCCAGAATCTTCCTGTCCTTCAAAGGTAAGGCACTTAAAATAAAGCTGTGACCCACTTTGCTGTGGTTCTCTGCAGGATTTGAATATTGGTGTAACAATTACTCGATCTTGTTCAATAACTGGAGCGGGGTTAGTTATTGGCACCGGCTGAATTCAGGTTCTTGGCAAAGCCCGGCGTTTGTCCCCTCAGTGCTTTACAGTGAGTTTGATTGTGTGATTGTGTACGAGAGGCCTGATGAGAGGGATGAGGAGATGTGCTGCTGATTGTCCTGAGCCATTCAGGGGCCTATAGAGAATATGTCTTCATCTAATCGCCCGGCCGCTATTAGTTCCCCAAACAGGCCTTTGTGTGACCTCAGCTCCCTCCTGAAATCAAGTCAGATTTAACACTTGGCTGGGCGCACACTCAGGGTGCAGATCCAGCATGTTATGAATGCTAGCCAGTGCCACATGAGACCCTGAGTGTGCGTTGAACTGTCCTGTTAAAATAGGTCTCGGCGGTGCAGTCTCCGCCGCTTTCATTCCATTGTCAGCAGTCATTGTGTCGGCGACTGAGGTTTTATAGCACCTGTCTCTGAAGACGGCTTTAATAAGACTCTGTTGAGTTTCGTTGCCTGTCTTTTTATGAGATCACCACACTTCACTTCTCAGCTGTGTGTCTGAAGTTTGTTCAAGTGTGAACATCTGGGAAAATCAAAGGTATCGCAGATGAATAATGCATGCTGCTGTTAAAAATCACACTTGTTATATTGTCGAGTGTTTCTGTAACACTTATATTAAAAAAAACAAAAAAAACAATCCTGAAATATAACAAATGCCTTGTTTGCCTTAATTTGCGTTTCTTCATATCGCGGTTTTCATGCTAAGCTGAGCTGAGGGGCTTTGTCTGCGAAGGTTTCTCAGTCTCGCCTCCTCTGATATTTTGCTTATCTGTTTGTTTTCCCTCCCCTCATCCCTCTCATCCCATCTCTTCCTCTCCGTCTTCTAATCGAGTCGGATTTCACACGCTAATGGTCTCGCGTTTGCTTGCTAGAAAAGAGTTCATTTATTTTCTACTTCTTTTAATTGAGTTCCTTTTTGTTTTTAATTAGTTTTGGAGGTTACTTTATGCCTCACAGAGCAACTTCAGATAGCTGGAGACCAGAAACGCACCTAAGCTGTGCATTTCCTAATTGTATTGGTTTTGCAGCGCGCCGCTGGGAATAACTTGTGTAATGTGCTTTTATTCATTTTTTTATGTGCCGGTGTACTCGAGGAAACACTTGGCTTTAGGCCTCATAACACGCTGCCATGCAAATATAGTTTGGTAAGAGCCTTGTGATGAAATATTCCTGTTGATGTTCTTTCAATTTGATGATAAAGGGAAACAAGTAGACCAGAGCTGCTAATAGAATCAGTTGTGTTTGTGGTACGTTGCTGAATTTCCAGCCGGCCGTGTTTATCCATAAAGGTTACCAGTATCACTTTTCACTGATTATTTGCATTTTATGAAGCTGGCAGAGACGAGTTTTGCTGCGCTTGGCCGAAATCCAAGTTTGTTACCAGAGAACCCACACGTTCTGTCTCTGCGGTTCAAATATTTGCCCTCCATCAAAGCAACAGACAGCGGGTCAAATACAGTACACACATAAAGAAAAGCAAAGAATCTTCTGATATAAATACAGTATTAGGGCTGTGTTTGAGTGGGATTATCTTGGAAACCCATTCTGCATATACTGCCGTTTATTCGTTCTGTCTGGTATTGAGATATTTATTTACACATTTTCCTGAAACTCTCCAAAACTAAAAATCGGATTAAATAATATTAAAAATCACTGTGACATAATGGCTCAAAGACTCCTGCATTTTGGTGCCTAACTCTGACTTTATTGCCTGAGCTGTTTATTTTTGTACGAGTTGTTTCATCACTTCTCTTTCATTCAACTGATTTCTATCACAGTATGTTAATAATACAGGATCTCCATCTTCTAAAGCACAGTAATCCCGTCAGTAAGTTTTCAGTACCAGATCTTGTAGAAGCGGGTTTACAACCTAAACCGCCACCGTAAACCTAAAGCTGATAATTTTGCCTAAAGCAGCTACTGAGTATGTTAGTACAGGCTGAGTTATTAACTGTGATAAGGACCAAGTGAGCAAACAGAGGCTAAGACCAAAGGAATGTCCATTCAAAGCAGATCATCAACCCAGACTTCAAAAGGACTGAGAAATAGCACACACACACACTTAAAAAACACCAGACAGCAATGCATCTCTCAAACCAAACAGCGCATTTTCTCCAAAAAAGGAGAATTTAACCACAGCATCTATTATTCTGCAGCGTAACCCAAAAGTCTAGTCGAGGTTTTGAAAATATTCAGATAAGGTTGTGAGTTCTAACAGAAAAGGTCACGTTTGTGCAGTTATGTAGGTGTATTCTTTCTCCTAAAAGACTGACCGGGACGGGCCCGGATCAGCTGCTGAGAACTCCTATATTTACTTTTAAACAAGGTCTGTAATCACATGCTATTTTAGTGCGCAGGGCTCTGCAAGGTTGTGACCCTTCAAACAGAAGCCAGTCACACCCGAGGTTAACTGCCCTCAAACTGTGGGAGAATGGCACCGTATTAACAAGTAATAGCTTGTTAGGCTAATCCTCAGGCACATTTGAAAGTGTTTAACTTTGTTTTGCTTCGGCCTCTGGAACACCTGGGCGCGAGGTTAGCTCTGGGAAGAGAGCCTGGAGAGAAAAGACAAAGCCAGGCAGTCCTGTAATTGGACTTATTCTCAGGGAGAATCTTAGAGTCGCTGCAGCCTTTGCACTCCCCCCCCTCCAGACGGTCTTCTCGTCCCGCGTAATGGGTCGACGGTTGTCACGCCTCAACAAAGACTTTGCTATCTGCTCATCTCTCCTGACACTTTTCAGGGTTAAGATCAGAAACGGCGACGTGTCCTTCATCTTTTTATTCTCTGAATAATCAGGAGCTGCTACTGAGTTTGAACTTTGTTCTATTTCTGACTCTCCAACAATAGACACTTTCCACAGATTACGTGTTGTGCGCAGATTTATGTACATATGGGAAGAGACTTGTGCCTTCCACATGTTACACCGGTGTGACATTCCTCCATGTAGGTGGTCCTGTGCTGTTGGCAGCTTTTTGTCTTCTCTGGTGAAAGAGAAAGCCGTATTGTAATAACTCTTCTTGACTGGCCATGACATATCACACCTTACCAAAGCAAAGTTTGCACCTCAGCCAACTTGCACACTTCTTATACGAGTCTGACGCTGGAAACCACGCCTTAGCAGTCAATGAGCTGCTGAGATCTTATCCACAGTTAACCTTTCTGGGTCTTAGTTCTAGCCAGGCAAAGTCCAGACAGCCTGCGATTTTTCAGTAGATGTAAAAATCCCACAAATCTCCACCACTCCTCTGCTCGCTGCACCAATTGTCTTGATCTGTCTCCTTCAAACAAAGGCGAGGAGGCTGCATGAAACCACCGTGTTCGATTTGGCTAATCACTGGGGAGATGGCAAACGCATTCAGTCTGCAAGTGTGTCATTCTCATAACCCAGAAACCTTCCTGCTGTTCAGCCACAAAACTAATGTCATTAATTAGCTGTATCATTAGAGCACATTACACATCACAGAGGGTAGTGTTATAATATATTATGTTACATGCATTAATCAGAGATGTTGGACATAATGAGGCATGCATTGCACAGAGAAACATACTGGTACCAGTACAATGTACTCACAGGCCTAATGAATAAATGTTATTATCATCTGTAGTGGAAGGTGCCAGTGGTGTTACTTGTGATAATTGTGTGCCGTATGTGGAGTTTAACTTGCTCAGAAGATGCTGTTCGAATAGATTTTTAGTGCATTTTAAGGACCTTTTGTTGGTATATTTTCTGTAGCTTCACATGAGGAATAAGACAGCTTTGTACTGATTGTCTGATTTGTTGTGCTGCAAACTTTTTTCAATGGTTTTCCTTTGGTTTGCTGTCATTCTATATAGTGCTTTCACAGTAAAACCCTTCTCCACATCACTTCGTCACAGTTATTTGAAACACGTCTGGGTTGGAAAAGGCAGAAATGTTGTGCAAACAGTATCTCTAATTTCTTTGGTCAGTATGGACGAGTAGAAAAAAATGGACTAATTTCCAGCAAATAGCTGTTGTCTTGATTTTTGATGATAAGGGAGCAATGTTTAAGTTATGAGAAGAAAGCAGTGCAGCTAATTAATGCTTCGGAACATAAATGTCACGTGTTCGCCACGTTTCTTTATTTTATTTTTCAGAAACGAGCAGTAAGTAGCAGACGCACCGATCCGCTGGGTAATAATCCTTTTGCCCTGGGTAAAGTTGGCTGTGCAGTATTATCTAATCCACATCCTCTGTGGCCTTCTACCTACCAGCAGTGCATGTTTGCTTCTTTCCCAGCAGATAAACATCATCGGTACATGAGGTTCACAAATTTGTCACAGCCTTTTGCTGTCTCGACCCACATGAAATCCAATTCTGAGAAACTGCAGAACAGCTTTTCTAAACGTCCTTTGGTCATGTTTCTGCTCATGTGTCCACACCACTTGGATGCACTAAACCCTCTTTGTGTGCGACGTCGTACCTGTTGGCAGCCCGCAGTCCAAAATTGCCTCCTTTTTTCCTATTATCTCCATTAGAGAATGTCATGGCACTGGAAATGTTTCCACAAAGTAATGCGCAGTGGCTGTGGCACGCAAGCCCCCAGCAATTATTACAATACTTTCTCTCTAGAGATGCTGCTGCTGCTGCTGCTGGTGGTGGAGGAGGAGGAGTAGGAGTAGAAGGAGGAGGAGGGGACGGGTGGTGCATCCCAGCAACCTCTGCTCTGCAGGATGCATTCTGTCAAACTATGATTATTCAGGAGAGAAAAACAGAAGGCGACAGCTCCAGCGCTAAATATAGTGTCCTTCCTGTCTGTTTCTTTCTCTTTTTATCTCCCTCTCCTCCTCTGCCTCGTCATCCTCCTCCTCCTCCTCCTCCTCTGCCTTTACTCTACACCCTCT